TATAGCCACTAGAAACAAACGAAAATGCAGAATAGGCAGTAACTTACACCAGGCAAACACTACACGATATATTTCAACAGACCGTGTTCTGCGCCCAGTAGTCGAAGCAAATTGCAAACGACTACCAATATTCTCTGATTTTGCGATTTAAAGCATCGCGTAACATAGTTTACTGTTTACTATCGAAGCCATATTTCAACGGGTTATGTATTAATGATTTCAAAGTTAGTAAGGAAGTAGAATATTCCTGTCCGTGATTTCTGGCCATCATAGAACTCGCTCAAAATTTTCCAATACAAGCGAAAACAACGTGTTAATCCAAAAGACAAACAAACTGGGAGATACCCGTTGCATTCCGATTATTTTCCCGACAGTATACCGAAATCTGCCGAAGTTCGAAGCAGTCAAAGTGCGCATGCGTCCTACTATGTTGTTGATTAGTTAAAATGCAGGCTCAATTACACACTTACACGGGGGGCGAATTGTAATGATGTTCTTTAAATGTATGTTTTAACTGTTTGTGGTATGGATGACGGTGCCTATTTGCCAGAGGAATACGTGCATCTCATTTGTAGATGACGTCATCCCTTGGGTATTTAAGAAGGGACATTGTAACTATAGATCATCCTTGATGAAGACACTAGACTGGAATGTCTAAACGTTAATTGGGCCTTGATTACAACTCAACTGTGCTTTTTATTCATTTAGCAAAAACATGTTTGGGACTCGTTCTTTCTAAAATGTACTCTATAATTTTATTGTGTTTCATTCTTGAAATTAAATAAACCAATCATAAAATTACACTTCAACGGAGCCTGAGAGATTAAACCGATCATCATATATAAACACCACTTGTAGTGTCAGAAATAACATGACAACCTAAATTTTAGATTGGTTCCCGGTTGTCCATGCTCATAGTAATATCGTTAATTTTTTCTATACTAGGTCTAAATCAGTACACTGTTATCAGCTGGCGTTCAGGCTACGCCGAAACAAGTTTAAGAAGTCCAAAAATCTCTGGACACATTGCCTGCTTTAATTTCCAATATCTTCTTGAACCTTTTCTTTTTGATGACGTGTACATCGTCAGCAGAATTTCTGTATCGATTAGAGTTACAAATAATAGCCAGTGGCTTCAATCATGGAGTGAAAGTCTTGAGAAAGGACGAGGAAAATGGCGCACAATCAATATTCTACTGGATAATGAAAGTGGTTTCAATCAGGTGAACCGTTTGTTTGTTAATAATTTGCTTGAATCTATTCAAATAGAAAACTTATAAAAAGAAGTTGAAATCGGCTCTCTTCAGAGTGAATAACTTGTGCGTTATTGATCAATTTGTCCTTATTCTAACACTTAACAATCAATTAAAGGGTGCCCTAAGTGGGCCCTTAAACCATTACAGTTACGTACAGAACTGGTAGTCAAAGTTGGTCAAAATGGAACTGGTATTTGCTCAAAGTTGGTCAAAATGGAACTGATATTTGCTTCAAAAGTTAAGGTCAAAGTCGGTAAATTGTGGTTGAAAATTGTAACGCCTTGCTTATTTTGGTCAAAATTTTTTTAATATTATTGCAGAAAATGTTTTACTCCCCGCCCCCCCCTCCCCCCCCCCACCGGTGACAACATTTCCGGGACAAATTTTTACAACTTGGTCAAAATTCTATTAAATGTTGGTAAAACATGACGACACCCCTCCCCCCCCCCAATGTTGATGCATTAGCAACGACCCTGTGGTAGAGCTAGCTCTCAAGTAAAGAGGGTTATTCTCGTGTAAGTACATTTATATTTCTTCGTGTTGTAATATTGGACCAATAAAAATGGATTGATTGCATTAATTAAGAGGACCTGTTGCCAAACAGTAAAAAAATTCTCGCTGTATAACTAATATCCAGTAGATATCAAAATATTTTAGTACGAGTTTTCTCCTCAGAATGCACTGGATTATTAGGCAATCGCCCTTATGGTGCAAACCTGTATACAAAGTAAATAATAAAAATTAGATAAAATATTAAAGTTAGTCCAACTCAGTTTTAGTTAATAGTTTATTTAGCTAGTGTGCTGTACGGGTCAGAGAGGGGAAATAGGGGTAATTCAAGATGGCGTGACCGAAGTTAAACTTAAATTGTAGATTGTATAAAGATTGAATAAAACCGTTGAGTTTGAGTACATTATATTGGCGACGAGGACTAAAATTGCAACATTTACCGTGGAAGCATTATAATTGATAAGGAACACGGTACACGTTGGATTAGTGCATTTATTACGTTTGAAATTCAGAAATTGAAATCGAAAAATCTATAAAATTTTGGGAATAATCCAATATGGCGACTGCATTGGATTTGTCAGGTTTGGGAAATTTTGATCCGTATTCGGATCCAACTACATTATCTTTACGATGGAAGAATGGTTGCTGCGGTACGACCGGTTTCTGGTTGTTATGGATATGAAAGATGGTACTCGGAAACGTACTCTATTGTTATATGCTGCGGGAAACGAAGTAGAAAATTTTTTTGAAACGTTGTCTGACGTAGGGGAAGACAAAGATTATTAGAAAGCGGTTGAAAAGCTGAACGAGTATTTTTTACCTAAGAAAAATGTGTTATTTGAAACCCATAAATTTCGCCAGTTAAAACAAATAACTGAGGAAACAATTGATCAATATTGTACCAGGCTTAGACAACAAGCCATTATCTGTGAATTCTCTAACAGTAAAAATGAGTTTAAAATACAGATTGTTGAAGGATGTTTAACATCGCGAGTGAGAAGAAAAGCCATTCAGGATGATTTTTCATTAGCAAACATATTAGCATATGCAAGATCTTTTGAAATAACAGATAAGGCTGTCAAAACATAAGAAAAAGATTTTGGGCACTTAACTCCCTCCTTCAGTGCGGTCAATGGTATACATTACCAACAAGAAAAGTCGAGTCAGTATCATGAACGAACGAACAGACAGCCACAGCAATCAGCAACCCAGTATCCTACAAGAAATCGATACACCTTCCCACTCAAAAATGCGGGCCGAGATAATTCACATGAGCAGCAACAGAATGGTAAGAAACTATGTTGTAATTGTGGGGGAAAATTATTTTGCAGGTCATCTTAGTGTGTGTAGAGCAAAGGCCAGGGAAAATCTTGTTTTGCATGTGGAAAACGAAATAATTTCGCGACTATGTGCCGTAGTCGTCAAAGGAACAATATTTCAGAAAAAGGGGAGAACATTCAAGCCATTTGTACTGAAAAGCAATCAAATTCCTCTGATGAAGATTCGTATGTTTTATTATTACACCACCAGTAGAAAATACGGTTTCTCCAAATTCACGAGCAATTAAAAACATTCCAGTTATTATTGAAAGGGCTCATGTTAAAATGATTGTTGACACTTGGGTAACAACAAACATTTTAGATTTCAAAGCATTTAATGAAATCAAAAAGAAAAACCCCAGTTTACATTTGCAACCATCAACACACATAATTTATGCTTACATGCCATCTCAACCTTTGCCTTGAGAAATTTGAAGGACTTATTAGTAGTATAGGAAGCAACGGTTCTGACCCATGTTACCGCGCTAAAAGCGGGGTAACACAGGCCTAAACCCCTAATTCCTATCTACTTTTTTATTTGAAATTCAAATTTTTAGTAATGGTGTATTTCCACTTTGTAGGTGCATTTCTGGCTGTATTTAATAATTTCATTTTTGGGTGTTAAAAAAGTCTCTCACAGACAGGATATGAGACCGTTTTTTTAATGACTTGAGGGATGTTTTGGAAATCGAAATAACCTCATTGTGGAGCTATTTATATGCTACCACAACTTTCACTGTGTAAACCCCAGTCTCTGTGTTGGGGTGTGTTGTTCACCACTTGTAACAAGCTGAGTGATTCACGCGAACACATCTTCATCTGTCCAATCCGTTTCAGGTCCTGTCTCAGCCTGACTGTCATTATCTGAGTAATAGTCTGATGCCCAATCACTTTCGATTTCGTATTTACCAGCTGTGTCACAATGACCGTATGCGTAACTCGTAATACCGTCCTCCGTAAGATGTCTTTTGTCATCGCAACAACTCAGTGTCACCTTGCGACATTCCTATGTTCCCAATTGATCTTTCACACTTCTCATTGCGTTCATGTTGTGCCTCAGCTGTGTCTTTTTCTGAATTACTTTCATGATGTTCGCTTGTTCTTTATCACGTACTTCTTTACACCATTTGCTGTCATTCCACCTTTTCCGTTTTCCTTCATGTAACTGTACATCTTACTTCTCAAACCACAGAACTCAACAATGGGTACACCACCAGCTTCGTCCGTGAACTTCCCAATAACTTTCGTATTGTGGTCGTGGTAGAAGTGTGAGTCTTTGGGGTAATCGGAATTGTCAAAGCAGTTATTATTAATATTATTATTATTATTATTATACAATATTAGATACTCCCAATTGAGCTTTTCAGGATCTAACTACAAATATGAAATTATATACCTACAAAAGTATCTAAAAATGAATTTTGAGTTTTGATCTAAGTTATAACATAGGCTATAGTTCTAAAATATTCTATAAATCTGTTAAACACCACTTTCAGTTAAAAATTATTCAAATAACATACGTTTTTATTCTACTTTAAAATGAGTCAAAGTATCAATGTTTTTTACGAGACTGAGGCAGAGAATTCCACGTCATATTTTTCGATTTCCTTGAAGTTCTTGTACACATCCTCAGTCTTAATGTCATAGATCAAGCTGTCCGTATCCGTGAACAGCAGCTTCCACTGGTGACCGAATTCGTCCTTCATCAATCCTTAGTGGAAGTCGTACATCGACACATTTGACAACGCTAAGACACATTCCAACGTAACAGGGCTTATTCAATGTTAGCACTTCCTTCATTCTATTGAAAACTACCAGGTCATCAGTCATGATTCTTTGTGATTGAAAGCATGGCCTTGCAACAGCCTTAAGCAGGTGATTCTCCGTGGTCATAAGATTCACATCAACGCTCTTCCTAACGTTCTCCATGGTTTTCCAATAGATTGAGTTGTTCATTGTCCTTCTTTCTTTCACTTGTTACTGGAACGTGCGTAGTTTCAGGTTTATCTGCCATTTTACCTGTGAGATACCTCAGGTTTAACTGGTTTTTATCTTACGAGATATCTTGGATTTACCTTGTGAAGAACCTTGAATTCACTTGTGAGATACCTCAAAAATGCTGGTGAGATATCTTAAATTTACTTGTATGATATGTGGTGAGATAACTGGGATTTGCTGGTGAGACATCTTAAATTTACTGGTGAGATACCTTGTGAGTTAACCTAGGAACAACTGGCTCTCATCTGGTAAGGTGACCTTACACACCTCACGTTCACCTGGTGAGGTAACCCAACGTAACACCCTAAGTAATCTGTCACCTTCTGTTAGATTTCCGTCAGGTATGAACTCAGACTTCTCACCATTGTTCCTTGGATATCCTTATAAAGGTCAAGCTCTTTCTCGACACGAGCCAATTATCGCATTGCTTTCAAGCAATGCGCTGTGACATTTCATATCATCTGTTCGTTGAATGCTATGAGGACAAAAATACCACCATTCGATTCAGTGTAACTAGATCTCCTTATTTGTAGCAATAATTTTAGTCAATGGCAACATTATAGCGATTTATGAGCTTTGAAAATAAAGCGAGATCGTATGTGATCAAATTACGCATTTTACCAACAAATTATCAAAACATAAACATACATTTCGCCGAATATAACTTCGGCCCCTTGAGACGTATACTCATTGTGATATTCTTGATGAATTAATCGTTTAAAATCCCATGTATAGCGTTACTTCCAAGCTTCTATCTTTAAAGTGTGACTTTTAGTGCCGAATTTTACATTTCTGCTCCGAAATTGCGATAATCCAACCGGAAATACGACAAAAAATCGTCAAAACAATGCTACGCTTGTATCGCGTGACTCTTGAAATGCCATAAATAGATTCTACAGGTCAAAGTGCACCCATACGCGTGAGTTTGACGTCATCCCGGCTAAAGGAGCTCCTTATCAGCCAAGTATTACGTAATACAAGCGTGTGCGAGTAAAACCGAATACTTTGAAAAATTCAAAATAAACATTTCTACTCGCTGTATTCATACGAAACTTTCTACACGAAAGCGCTTGAATACAAAGAGTATTTTACACATATAGCCTTTAAGAAAATAACGAAAAGTTTAGAAGATATTTAACTTTTTCTCTCTTTCTCGTTTGAATGCTTGGCGAAGCGGTGAGTATAAATATATCATTGTTTCGGTTTGTGTAATGTTTTGACGGCACTTGACCCCCCCCCCCCCCCCTTCGAAAGGTTCTTTTGTAAGGATTACAATGGTGGGTTTTGTTTTAAAGGGGGGTAAATACTCGCTGCGATATTTACATTAGAAAAATTAAATCGTAATGTAATACGAAACTACTTCTCGAGAAAGATATTATTATTATTATTATTATTATTATTATTCGTTTTCATTATTACATCGAGCAGAGACACGTTTATACGTGCTCTGTACATGTCAATAGTTTCATCGCTGATTTCGTATTTGAATCACAGTATTTCTTAATAATTCTTAATATTGTTCATCACAAAAAGATTTTCATTATGATTCGTTCAAGCATTATTGCTATGTTATCGATTTGTGTCGCTTGTTCGTTTTGTGGACAAGACTTCGTCTCGCTTGGTCGCCATTCGTGGCGTTGTAAGCAACGGATTAATCACGCTGAGCAAGACCGCCCTAATATTACATCGAGAGATGTGCCTGTTATGCAGTCACCTAATCTTCCTGTACCAAGCCGCACTGTTGTTAAGTGTTGTTGTGGCAAGATATGCAGAGGTGCGCGTGGCGTTAAAATGCATCAGCGTAGTTGTCAAGTGATACATGGCCTTAACGACGAGCTGTCTGCTGATCTTGAAGAGCAAATAACGACGGATAACATTGCAGATACCACCGAAAATGACAATTCTATTAACGACATTGATATGACTAATGACGAAAGTTTTCCCGAACTGAAACAAGGCATAAATTTACCGAAAAATGACTCTGGGTGGCAAACGGCTAATGATTATTTTAAATGTGCGCTCCAGTTAGATAATCCAATCAGAATGCGAGACGTGAACTCAAAGATCGAGCTTTTGAACGACGTTATATATAACTACTTTGCTGATAACTTTGGACATAACGAATGGTTACTAAATATAAAGAATATACTGTAAAGGAGTTAAAGAAAGCTTTGCAAAATTTAAAATCCAACAAAGGTGACCTTAGTGAAATTAAATACGTCTCCCGCACATTGCGTGATAAGCTTCGTAATAATAACAAGGATGGGCTAACCT